AAAAGTGTGGATTATTGTAACCTGGATTAAAAGTGTGGATTATTGTAGTGAAGCCTTCGTGTTCAACCATGGACAGAGGCCTCATGTCAGTGACGATCATGTTCAGGATGTTTCAGTGAAGACAGCTGCTGCTGTGGTGTCCATGATGTCTGTCCATCATGAAGGATGTTGTTGTTTGTTGTTGTTTTCTGGAATGAGACAGTAAATATGTTTTATAGTATAATTTACAGCAACTCAAGAAATGCCTTGTTTCACTTACAGTGTTAGGTTCAGACAAAAGTAGCTAAAAGAGCAATTAAACACACACACACACACACAGACACACACACACACACACATAAAATACTTAATTCCACACATTTGAGTAGATGTAATAAATTACTTTAATTCCTGTTTAAATGCAAATCATCCTGCCATACCTGCAGTGTCTTCAGACTTTGCCAGCAAATTAAAGTTGAAGCTTAATCATTAAATTATTATCTTTGTGTTAGATTTATTTATAAATCACATTTAAACACTGATTGTACCAATTAAATTAAATAAAAAGTAACACACGTTCTCTATCACCGTCATTAATCAGAAAACAAACAAACAAACAAACAAACAGCTTCATCTACCAGACAGACTGACGTTACGTTTTCTCTCTTGAAACAGAACAAAGTGTTAAATTGTAGAGACTCACCTGCATCATGAGTTGTATCAGCTGCAGCTCCTTCCTCCTCCTCGTGACTCCCACATGTTTACGTTTCATCTCCGTGGTTCTCCCGTGTCGTCACTTTTCAAAGCTGCATGTTGCTCAGTTTTTATCTTTGTGAAGAGCTCCCACACTTTGGAGGACTTGGGTCGAACAGTTTTCGCTGCGTTGGTCATTTGTCAAATTTACTTCATTTCCTTTAAAAACAGCCTCTGCTCTCCTCCCCCCTCGCTCTGTTCAACTCGCGCTGCAGTTTTTTTTTCAAACTTTATTCAGTCAGTCAGCATTGACAATGAACTGCCCGTGAACAAAACGAAACAACTCCGCAGCGCCGTGAAAGATGCATAATCGCGCGACACAACGAATCGATAACGAAATTCGTTGCCAACGCTTTTAATCATCGATTTTTATCGATTTTATCGATTCGTTGTTGCAGCCCTAGATGAGAATATCATTAGTTACTTTCACCAGTACAGATTCAGTGCTGTGGTGAGCTCTGAACCCTGACTGAAACTCTTCAGATTATTTATTTGCAGAGGATCATGTAACTGACCGGCAACTATTTTCTCTAGAATTTTTTTAAGTTAGATTTTGGTAAAATTTGGTGATAGATGCAACAATCCCAAGACACTAACATCATGAAAGAGGAGCAGCTGGAGAAACAGCAGGAGCTGAAAGAGAGAATAGAGACGTTATGGAGTCAAAGTGCTCATTGGATCATGTGACCCCCAAAACTGGAAGAGTGGCTCCAGCAGATCCCAGGATCAACCTCCGAGATCTCTGTCCAAAAGAAGACAGTCCTAGGAACACATGATACTGAACAGAACCCTCAGAACACAGGTCTCTGGTAGAGGACCAGAGGTTGGAGTGGACCAAGTGGAGAAACAGGGAGCTCTTTTGTTAAATACTGGGTCTGAAAGGAGCCGGACTGGACATTGTTGGATTGTATACCTGGATTATTGAGCATGGACTTTGTTGGGTCTGAAAGGAGCCCTCACAGTATGATGAGCTGACAGCAGCGCTGCTTGTTTTCCTGACCTGCAGGCTTCAGGTGCTGCTTTCAGCCCAGACTGGTTTGTTGAGTTACAGCTTCATTTCCCACTGCCTGCTCCCCCAGCTGATCAGAGCAGCAAACTGCTCTCCAGAGCCCCCGTTAGTTCAGTGTGACTGCTCCGACCTGCTGTGGTGTCACTTCCTGCTCTGCCACTGGTGAACAAGCTGCTCTCAGCTGACGCTCCGGACCCACCCACAGCTTACTGGAACTTTTTATTTCTGCCGCTGTCGCCTGCCGTCGAAGGTCTTTAAACTGTAGCATGAAAGGAGGCGGGAGATATGCATTCTTTAAGGACCGCTCGGCCTTTAATTCCTCATAGCTCATCGTTTTATGGATGTGGAATAATAAATTGGGCCTTACAGAGTGGTGCGTTGACTGGCTGTGGGAGAGCCTGTGCAGCAGAGCCTGAAGGCAACATCAGGTCACAGCTTGTGTTTCCGTCCAGATGATGCTCGGAGAACTGGAAGCTTTGCATCATAAGGACCACCTTCTCAGAGTGGATCAACCAGTTTGCTGCTGACAACCAGAACCAGCTGATCACATGCTCAAGAAGGACCATCAGCCTAACAATGGATCATTAGCACCTGATGGCTGTTTACTGTTCACAGAGGGCTGAGTGATACTAGCAATCACAGCATTGTAAGAGGGGGACAGTTGAACCAGGAGGCTCCGCCCCTGTTTAATGATGGACGAATTCAAAAAGTGTTCAATACAAAAACAACTGGACTTTATTTATAACAGAAGACGTTTCTCTCCTCATCCGAGGAACTTTCTCAATTCAAAGAGCAGAGAGTGAGAGATTCAGGTTCAGAGGCTGAGTGAGATCAGACACACACACACATGTAGATTGACAGTTCACACCTCAACACCTAAACAGTAGGTCTTTGTTCCTCTAATTCACAGTCCCACAGTTTAATGATGGACGCTTTCTTTTCACAAAGATGGCCTCCTTTACTCCTCTCTCAAACCATCGTTCCTCCACGGGGAGGTGGGTTTGGACCTTCAGTGCTGCATGTATCTGCTCACAGTCCGGATGAGCTCGTGGAAGAAACAAACGTCTGAATCGTTGCATCTAAGTGTTTTTATTGATACATACATGTTATTCAGGCTGTACAACAAAGTGGCTGCTCAGCCAACAGCTGGAGGGACACTGAGGACGAGTCACTTCAGCCAGATGTGTTTGTCTCCAACATCTTCATTATAACCAGGAGCAAAATTCTTTCCCGGTAACTGCAAAACAAACAAACAAATGGATAAACACAATAAATTTACCACCACAGTCACAGTTTGTGTCTAAACTGCAGATTTTAGCGACTCATGTCCTAAAAAGACTTCTGTTCTGTCTCATCGTCTCCAGACTGTTGAGAGGACGCTGCAACACATTCCTCATGTCCACTGAAACGCCACCGCACGCCGCCGGCCTCGTTCGTCCCTCCGAGAGCCCGGCTCCGAGCAAAATGTCAGGTCACGGCCTCCAGTCGCGTTACGCAGCCCCATCCGTGCGGCGGGGCTGGGACAAAAACGTCTCCAGTCAATAAACAGAAAAGGTCAGACCCAAATGTTTCCCCATGAGAGCGACAATGCTAACAGCCCGGCAGAATATTCCACATCTGGCATTTGTAGCTACGAGATGTTCGATATTTCTGCTCAGGAAAATGACTTTCATTAAGTTGAGCAGGCGAAAGGTAAGAAATATAAAAAGACAGGCGTAAAAAGGACAGAGGACGTCCACACAGGACAGGCTGCTTTTTATACACTTCTAACTTTTAATAAGGTGATCAGCGCAACATCAAAAACTTATCCTGAGCCTGATGAAAGTCCAGCTCATCCAGAGCTGCTCTGGACCACAAGCAGCACCTTAGGAATGAATGTTTCAGTTCTCCCTCCTTAGATGCATTAATCTGTCCTCCAGCTCTAATGTTAAAAATCTTGGTGTTATTTTTGATCAGGACATGTCTTTTATCCCCCACATTAAAAACGTTACTAGAACCTCCTTCTTCCACCTGCGTAATATCACTAACATTAGAAACATCTGATCTAAAGATGATGCAGAAAAACTGGTCCATGCATTTGTCACGTCTAGACTGGACTATTGGAATGGTTTATTATCTGGGTGTCCAAATACTTCTTTAAAACGTCTTCAGTTGATCCAAAATGCTGCTGCCAGAGTCTTAACTGGAGTTACTGGGAGAGATCATATCTCTCCAGTTTTAGCTTCTCTCCATTGGCTCCCTGTCAAATCCAGAATAGAATTCAAAATCTTACTTCTAACCTACAAAGCCCTCAACAACCTAGCTCCATCTTATATTACAGATCTTATTGTTCCATATTTTCCTAACAGAGCACTTCACTCTCAGACTGCAGGTTTACTTGTGGTTCCTAGAGTTTCCAAAAACAGAATTTGAGGAAGATCTTTCAGTTCTTAGGCTCCTCTCTTGTGAAACCAACTTCCAGTTTCTGTCCATGAGGCTGACACATTGTCCAGTTTTAAAACTGGGATTAAGACTTTCCTTTTTGATAAATCCTATAGTTAGGGTCGGCTTGGGTTTCCTGAGCTGTCCCTTAGTTCTGCTGCTATAGGCTTAGACTGCTGGAGGACAAACTGACCACACTTTTCACTCTTCTACTGTCTTTACTTACTCTGCTCAACCTGTTTTGTTTTTGTTTGGACCTGGACCTATATCTGGACCTGGACCTATACCTGGACCTATTCCTGGACCTGGACCTATATGTGGACCTGGACCTATACCTGGACCTATATCTGGACCTGGACCTATACCTGGACCTGGACCTATATCTGGACCTACCATTCTGTGTTGGTCTGTCTCTCCTTCCTGTCCTCTCAACCAGCCGGTCAAAGCAGATGGTCTCTTGTCCTGAGCTGGTTCTGCTGGAGGTTTCTTCCTGTTAAAGGGAGTTTTTCTTTCCACTGTCTCCACTGTGCTTGCTCAGGATGGGAGACTGCAACGAAGCCAAGATTCATCTTGTCTGCTGGATTCCTTAGATAGAGAATTTTACCAACTGGATTTTATGTGAATGTTCCTGTAAAGTCCCTGAGACAACTTGGTTGTGAACTGGTGCTATAGAAATAAACTGAATTGAATTGAAACAGGACTAAAGAAGCAAGAGAGTCTGGTCCATAAAGACACCCGATGCCAGACAACACCTCAAAGGAGTTCCTCTCGTTATCCTCAGATCTCATACAACGGTTCTGAGTAGAGCCCGACCAATATGGAAGAGTCAGTAAAATTGAGAGGGTAAGGCTGATGCCCATAACTGACACACAGTAGTCCCTCGATTATTGCGTGGGTTACGTTACAGACACCCCCGTGATTGGTGAAAATCTGTGAAGTAGGGACATTATATTTATCTTAGTATTTATATTTACGCTGTCTGGCAAAAAAAAAAAAAGTCACCACCAAAAACAAAGTCACACACTAATGTTTGGTTGGAGCACCTTTAACTTTGATCACATCGTTCATTCTCTGTGTCTTTGTTTCAATAAACTTCTTCAACGTCACAAGATCCGTTTCATCCAGTGTTGAATTAATGTTTCTCCAACATCTTCCATTGATGATGAGACACTGGTCATGATGGTGCATCACTTCTCCTGCCTCTCTTCTGACCCTGATGCTCCATCACTCTGGAACAGGGTCAGTCTGGACTCATCAGACCACATGACCTTCTTCCATTGCTCCAAAGTCCAATCTTTATGCTGTCCAGTAAACTGAAGCCTTTTTTTCCCAGTAAGCCTCACTGGTTAGTGGTTTTCTTAACACTACCCAGCTGTTCTTGAGTTCCTTCACCTTGTGAGTGTTTAAATGTTCTTCCTGTCTCTGTGAACCACAGCCCTGAGTGCTGCTGGTGTTTTTCTTCCATTTGATTTCACCAAACGTTTAAATGATCACCGATCACGATCATTCAGGATTTATTTCCAGCCACATTTCTTCCTGGAAGACGATGGGTCCCCACTGTCCTTCCAGTTTTTAATAATGTGTTGGACAGTTCTTCACCCAGTTTTAGTTTCTACAATCTCCTGAGATGTTTCCTCTGCTTGATGCCAATGATTCGACCCTTCTCCAACAGACCGACATCTTTTCCACGACCACCATGAGTCTTTCATCACGTTGTTGAAGAAATGAGAAGCAACTCATTGGAGTTAAAGAACTTGTTGCAGCTGAAACATAATCGTCCGTGCAGTGATGATCCAGCAGGAGGCTCGGACCTGTTTGATCAGTTAAATCCAGCTGGAGACTTGTTTTTTGGTCAGGCAGTGTATATTAAGGCTTTATAAACCCTTCCCACACTCTTGCAATGTTCTTAATGTTCTAAACGCTCTGAAGCACATCTCCGCTCTCTGCCGTGCCCACTTGTTCGCTGCAATCACACTCATGCTCATCACCTGCGTCACTCCCAATCTCCCTCCTGCTGCACCTGTGCGCTGCGCTGCTTCAGCGCTCCCAAGTCTCTGCCTCCTGCCAGATTGTCTGATCGCCTTGTGCCTGAAGTATCCAGCATAGGGGTTGAACGAATACATCATTTTTAAACTCGACATTAACATAATAAAACTCGAGTAGAACTCGAGTAGTTGATGACGTCATAGGATCTAAAGATGCAAAAATAAATAAAACCGCAAAAAAAGTCATTTATTATTTACAAAAAAAAGTCCACCAAAAACATTGGCAGCAGATATTTTGCTCCTCCCATTTATCAAACTGCAAATAATTCACATGAAAACCAAAACTATTAGTTTTTATCATTAAGCTGCAAAAGTGAAAGAAACATGCAGCACGTCAAAAACAAAACTAAAACCAGTGGGGGGTCGACCCCCCCGCACCACCACCACCAGCTGTGGTGCACATTCAGTTTAGTTTTAGTGATTAATATGTTTATACATTTTTATTGGTTTAGAGATGAATTGTTTTTGTTTGTGAAACAAGGTCAGAGGAAGCTGGTTCTGGTTCGGTCGATTGGACCGGGTGTTGCACCATATTCTGTGACCTGCAACAGTGCATGCAACGTCGACGGTCACAATATACGGTGGCCACAGAATATGGTGTAACACCGGCTCACAACGAGCTCCAAACAGTCAGGAAGTTGATTCATTGTCTGTTTCCTTACGGTAGTTGAACCGGAAGATTCATCTTTAGTGAAATATTTCCATATTATTAATGCAGTTCTACCCGTTTGTCAAGACTGGACCTGCTCCGCTTCTTCCGTCTGCTTGGAGGAATCCATTTTGTAACCCGCGCCCGGTGCGGATCACGTGACACGATGACGTAACGGCGACGTAATGGTAAAATGGTAAATGGACTGTACTTACACAGCGCCTTTATCTTATCCAGACACTCAACGCTCTTTACAACAATCTGTGCCTCATTTACCCTTTCATACAGCTCTATACTAGATCTCTACAAAGCTAATTGAACAAATCATTCTGAAGAGACTAATCAGAGCTTTATCACATTCAAACACTGATGGGACACACATCGGAGTCTATGAGAGGTTCAGTGTCTTGCCCAAGGACACTTCGGCATGTGACTGTTGGTGGATTCGAACCCCCAACTCTTGCATTGGAGGACGACTGCTCTAACCACTGAGCCACAGCCGCCCACGTCACGACGAACACTCGACGTGAAATTACAAACCTCGATAAGCGTCTTAGGAATCGATGTGTGGATTACTGGAGTAGTCTGTTAAAGCCCTAATCTGGCATTCTTGTTCCTGCTCTCGTTTCTAAAGACTCGGTTCGGATCGCGCTTGATTATTTTAAATAAACAATCCATGCCGCTCGTGCAGCGCACTCAGGGATCAGACAGACGCCCCCTGCAAAGAGAAAAGAGGGGGTGGGGTGGGGGTCTGTCTTAAACCTGAGTGAGCCGCACTCACCTGTGCTCAGCCTCTCGCTCTCTTTAAATTTGATCATCTGTTCATCTCTGCTCCCTGAGCAGTAGCGATGGGGAAAGACAGACCCCACCCCCTGCCTCCTCCTTTCTCTTTCTGAGGCTGTCACAGCTGTGGTTACACATTCTGTTGCAGAAGCACGGTCTGAAGAGTCAGCTCATTTGCACATGTGCTAAAAACAATATTTCTGGGTCACACGGGTGATGTAGCGCCGTTTCACCATGGAAACAATTATAATACTGGTTTATAATCATTGTGCTTTATTTCAGTGGTAACTCTTCAAGTCTTCAAACACACTTCCCAACATGCGTTCACATTTTCTGTCCTCCACTATTCTCCATAAAGTTATCAAGTGTTACAAAATAGATATTTAACATTAAACGTTCTTCCTGTTCACTGTTAAACAGTCACGTGTGGTGAAGGTCTGATCTCGACCTTTGACCTCTCTAAGTGTCTTTAAGAATCTGTTGGACTCCTGGCAGGGACCAATGCAGACATGTTCCTGTTTTTAGTTTTCTACATTCACCTTAGAATCTAGATGTTTTTTTGTTACCTTTTCCTTTTAGCCATCCTGTTAAAAAAAAAACCTGTATTATGACTTTTTATAACTGTTTATTGTTGTTGTTGTTGTCATCATTCTTTGTTGAAATCAGGTCTCTCTTGTAAATGAGTCCTCGAGGCTCAATGGGATTTACCTGTCTAAATAAAGGTTGAAGGTCTGATGAGTGTCGACCGCAGCAGACTTGAGTTTTCTTTAAGTAAAGATTTCAGACAAACATTTCATTGAGGACGACAAAGATAAAGTTATTAACTGATATATTTTATGTCTACGTTAGATTTACTGATCTGGATAAAGTTTTACGAGACAATAGTCTATGCTATGCTAGGTTATCTAAACGTTAGCTTGCTAACGTGAGAGGCACGTAGTTAAAGACGAGCAGGTTGGAGCATTGAAGAGAATTTATTGTTGATTTATTTACAGATCAGTTCAAATGAACTCACCAGGCTCTGTTCAGTCAAATACTCTACACAGTTGCTCTCTGCTTCAGCTGTGCTGAAAGTGAAACGTAAAGTGAACGGCCATGACTTGAGAGTGGTCTTTACGCTCCCTCTGCTGGATACATTGTACAATCATGTCTTTTCCACATAAGGAGATGGCTGTTCCCAGTGCTTCTACTGGTGCATAATGGGACAATTATTACAGATACCAATATGTCCCAAAACGCTTATATCAACCTAAAATCAGCCTTACAGATATTTGGGAACAGCCTTCCCAAAGACTCGATCTCAACCTGAACTGAAAACTTGTGCACTCTGCTCAAAAACCCAGTCCATGACTGGAAACCAACAAACTTAATTCAACCTTAAGAAGAGTGGTGAAACAGGAGACAGAAAACCTGCGGTCCAGAAGACACCTGTCCAAACACTAGTTGTCAAAACGCCTCAGGCCGGGATGTAGACGCGTTGGGTTCGTTCAGAAATCACACTGAGGTGCAGAGAGGGGTCGAAGCCAACCCACCAAGGTGAGGTAGTAAGAGAGGGGTAATGATGGATGAATTCAAAAACAAAAACTGGACTTTATTTGTAACAGAAGACGTTTGGCTCCTCACCCCAGGAGCTTTCTCAATTCAAAGAGCAGAGTGAGGGAACCTGAACCCCTCACTTGTCTTGAACGTGTAGTGATTGCATCATGTCCTGGATGACTGAGAATCTTCAGCAGCATGATGGACAAAGCAATGCTGCGGATTAATAAAGTGATGACACGTGGTCTGCGTGACCACCGGCTCCAAGGATTAAACAGATTTATTACCGAGGGTCGATTGATGGAACTTTGTATTTACTTTAAATAATTATTTAACCACAGAAAGGATCACCAAACGCAGGTAGTTCACTTCTTTATAAACGATACAAAGCAGGCGTTTAACGAGTCTCGCTCCATGTCAACCCAGCCAAGTTCTGCTCCTCCCCTCTTTGCTCACTTTGTTTCTGAAAGCTCCCGTCTCTGCAGGACGAGGCTCAACCTGTGATTTAAGAACAACCAGAGGCAGCATGAACACCGACGGGACTGAGCGGCCATTTTGTGTCGACGTTTTGTGAAAGAGCCAAAAGAAATCCACGAGTTTTAACTTGAGAACCCACTTGGTGCTTCATAAAATATTTAAAGCTGAACGTTGTAAAAATCTTCCACACTGAAACGAGTAGGACGTTCATGGTGTCTTCTGATCACACCGTCTTCATTTCACTCAGTCACACAAAAGAACAGTTCAGAACTTTAAGCAGGTTGACTCGGGTCCTCTGGACGGACTCTTCTTCTTGAAACGTTTCATCTTTTATCCAGAAGACTTCTTCAGTCTGAGGAACTCCTCAGACTTCTAACTTTTCCGGAGGTTTTATCTCCTTGTTAACATTAAACCATCAGTTTACTAGACAGTTCATTTCTCCAGAAGTGGGCAAAGGTAAACAAGCTGCTGCACGCAGTAGCAAAGCATCATGGGAACTCACTGATTTGTAGGCGTGGTACTTCTCATAGTACTCATGAGCTCCGATGGTGATCTCAGGCAGGAACCTGGGGATTTGGGTCAGACTAGCCAGTTTTGACTTGTTCCTCGCTCTGAAAGACACACAGAGACTGTAAATCCTGATCCAGGATCAAAAGGATCCAGAACTTGTCATGAGAGCTGAGGTGTTCTGTGGACTTACATCATCCTCAACTCATGGTAGTTGATGTCCTCCTGTTCCAACCACGGCCCCTTTTCAAATTCCATGATTTCTATGTCATCCATCACCTGCAGGCGGACCACAGAGAAACAGGTTCAGGAAACATGTGGGCGTTTCTGGCTCGGTCTGGTACACACACTGACCATGTTTATATTCTGAGCTTGGACCACATCGTAGACCAGCACCTCAGTAGTTTCTCTGGAAGTTAGAAAAACAGACCGTCAGTGTTTAAATAACGAGTGCACTCACAGCTCGACAACACGGCAGCTTCCAGGATGGGACACACAAACCTGATGTCCCTCCCCGTCCACTTACTCAATGCTGGGCAGAAAAGACTTCTTGTAGGACTCCTCGATGCTCTTCAGATACTGCAGTGGTATGTTCTGCAGAGAACACATATGAGACTACATCATCCCTGCCCCATCAAGAAGTCCAGTTCCACCACCAGAACCTGGAACTTTAACTCCCATGAATGTTCTGAAGGCGTTTCCCCTGATTGTAACGTTTCTGGAGAAACATCAGCTCCTCCACCAAAGCAGCTCAGAACGTCCAGCAGAAGAGATGCTTGTGTTTCATGGAGAACATGAAGCGATGTCTGGATGATGTGTTCATATCTGTGGTCAGCTCACAGACGCAACAGGTCCAGGAGTGGAACCCAGACCTCACTCTCCAGCTCCTCCTGTGGAACACAAGCTGGTCCCAGTCCAGAGTCAGGGTCTGCCCCAGGTCTCCTTCCAGTGGGACAAGCCTGGAAACCTCCACAGGGAGGCGTCCTGACCAGATGAAGCACTTCATCCTCAACTGGAAACAAAGTTCCAGCTGCATCTGTACCATCAAAACGAGACGTGCTAAGCTAACATGCTAAGCTAAAGGGCAGAGTTACTCCACTTCAGCTGCATAGCTTCTGTTAGCTAACAGCTGCACTAGCTAACATCCGCTTTATTAAAAACCAGATGGACGAGCTGCGGACCTGGACAACATGGCAGCACGAGACCCTCAGAGGAGGGCGGTGCTGAAGCGCAGCTCTGACATCAGCCCGGCAGTAAATGAACGGCGTCGTACCTTTCCGCTCTGCTTGAGCTTCATGTGCACGTCTTCAGCCGGCAGGTCGATGTAGATGACGAGGTGAGGAGGGAGGAACTCCGTGAGGCTGTTGTGTTTGGTCTCATTGTAGTGCTCCACACCTGTAAACCACACAACCTATGAAGAAGCACTGGGAGTCATGAGACCACCTGAGTCCAGTCCACACCACCTTCACCTTTCACTTTATGATCCGAGCTGGTTCTGACCCTAAATGTTACCAATCAGCTTATCTCAGAAACTTTGACACATTTTATTATGACTTTTTTTAGGAAAGGTCTGTCTGATTGATTGATTGATTGATTGGAAGCCCCAACGTGTTTTCTGTCTTTCTTTTTAGTTTTTCAGACATTCAGACCTGGAAAGTACAATCCATGGCTCTGCAGGCATTTTAAGGCCGTGCAGGAACCCTGTGACGTGGCTCATCTCTGCAGCGTTGTACCTGGAGACAGGTTAGACACTTACACTCCTTCCTGATGTAGCCCTGCTTGAACATGGCATCCAAGAAGACCATGTCACTGAAAGCGGACCGATGCAGGACCACTCCTTGGCCTTAGAAACAAGAAGAGACGTTTCATCATCACCAAACTCCTGTGTGGTTGTGCAGAAGACCGGGCTCGGTGGTACCTGTGGACAGCAGGTGTTCTATAGCATCAGCGTACTGCAGCAGCCTCATCATGTACATCCACAGCTGCAGCCTGTAGCTGTTCCCGTCCGCAGCTTTGGGCTCCAAATAGAACTTCTCCAGACTGCACATCCCGTTGTAGTCCACAGGGAGGGGCTCCTTCTCCCCGTTCATCTTGTCCATGTAGAAGGTGTCCACCTGGGGCATGTAGAGCATCCCTGTGGAGACAGACAGGTCCTCACTGAGGGGAAGGGGCAGCAGCTGAGCGTCCACAGCTGGCCAATGTCTCCATAAAAAATATCAATAGGATTTGTTTGAGACATGAGAATATTTTGATATAAACGATATTAGACTTGAAAATCCGCCTGCTCTTCTTTCTCCCATGTGGCCCCCCTCCTTGAATACAAACCCACACGGACCCCTCCTCCTCCCTCCAAGTTCTGCTGGCTTCCTGCTTCGAGGTGGGCGGGGCACGTTTAGCATAAGAAGGAAACAGGGAGATATGAAGAGCAGCTAAAGTGCTGAACAAAGAGAGGAACTTCTTTCAGAGACGGTTGTTTAAAGTGTCAGACAAACGTTGTGCACACAAACCAAACGTCAGCGCTACGAACCTTTCCATCATTTAAAACAGTAAGAAGCTGCAGGTCCGACAGGCTTCAGCCTCCTTCCTTGACACGAAGCACGGCTCAGGACTCATTTAGCCGTGCTGACCCTGAGAGGACCAGAGGTGGTGCGACATTAAACCACTGGACCATCATATGGCTGAAGACACGGGCTGAGCCATATGATGGTCCACTGCTCCTCCTCCACCTCCTCCTCCTCCTCCTCCTCCTCCTCGCTGAATACAAGCAGCCCCTCACTGCTGCTTCACACACTAACGTGACGGAGCTGCAGCTGAAGACAATTATTATTTAACATATGTAAATAAATGTCTAAAAGACAAACGTTAATATTTATAAGTAGTTTATTTTTTAGACATTTATTTTGTAGAGTTACAGCTGTTGTTAATAAATGTGCCCGTGGGACAACTGGGACAAAGCTTTGACTCAAATATATTTTTGTTCTTACTTTATGGAAAGAAAAAAACGTTGAGATATATCGTCATTTTTCTTTAAATAATGAGATATTAATTTTGGTTCATATCGTCCAGGCAGGCCTAGAGTGGACACACGAGAGTGGACAGACGAGAGTGGACAGACGAGTGTGGACAGACGAGTGTGGACACACGAGTGTGGACAGACGAGAGTGGACAGACGAGAGTGGACAGACGAGAGTGGACACACGAG